CCGCAGTTCCAGCGGCCCCACCCGCACCGACCGCCGAAGACATTGACGACATGCTCGAGACTCTGGCCCACGTGGTCCAAACATCGGCTTTCTTGCGGGCAAGCGGTGCGTCGTCGTCCAGCGACATGAAGGCGATGCTGTCGACTCTGCGCACGCGCACGGCCGAGCTCAACGCGTTGATGCAAACTGACGCGGCGAGCGAGCGGATCGTTGAGCTTGCTGGCGTAAAGATGGAGATGAGGCAGGAGATGGAGGAGTTGGGAGATATATTAGAAGCTCTCGAAGGTTGACGAGCTGGCGTAATGCAACTGATATAGTGTATATAGAAACACATTGTAAATATTCTGACGCTTTGAGAAAAAGACGCAACCGAGATTAACAGTATCTCCTATTTGACGTGCTTCAGGCAGTACTCCGGGCAGTGGGAAGTGAAAGAAGCGGGGGTGGATAAGACCGAACATAATGCACGGCTTGGAGCGCGCCTGCGAACAAAACATACGCAGCCCTAGGTTGATGAAGGCTGCTCGTTGTCATCGCCAAAGACTTGAGGCACTGCCTTACGCCACCATTCGCGAACAGTGCTATTGCTTTGACAATGACCATCAATAAGCTCCTTGGTGTACTTGAGCTCGATCCCACTGGACAGGAACCAATCGAGCACCAAATAATTCCCTCTGCGACTGGCTGTATTGATGGCGTCTTTAACGCCCTTGAGCTCCAGGCCACTCTCGCTCCACCACTCAAGAAGATCCAAGTCGCCTGAATCGCAGGCATCGCGTATTGGGCTATCGTCGTACTTGAGCTCGAGGCTGCTCGTTCTCCAGAATTCAAGAACGCCAAATTTACCACAATAGCTGGCATCGCCTATAGCGTCTTTGCTGTACTTGAGCGGTAGACCGCTTCTTTGCCACCAAATGAGCTTATCGATGTCACCACAAAGGCTGGCTTCGTCCATGGCAAACTCCGAATACTTTAGTTCAAGACCGCTCTCCGCCCACCACGCCAGCCCGGCAATGCCGGCGTAATCCATGGCGTCTTCAGTGTACTGCAGTTCAAGACCGCTTTCAAACCGCCACCATTGTAACAGATCGATCTTGTCACGGGCGCTCGCGCGGTCGAGGCTTGCGGCGGGAATGAACGGCAAACACTTTTTGTACAAATGGCGGAACGATAGCGCACAACAGAAACGGAAGCAGTCGACAGGAGGAAGAGAGAGGGCAATGCCTGAGAGAATTTCGACGGGCAGCATCGCGAGCGGCGATGGAAGTTGCTGCTGAGGCATTGGGCAAGTCTTTCAAGAATGCGACAGAGGATCGGGAATAATTGAGAGTAAAGTGTCCCCGCCCATCGCTCGCCAACAACATCTGGCGTTCATCCCCGCAAGCAACCACATACTCTGACCACACACAATGTTGGCCGACACTTCGAGTCCTCCCTCGCTCCTGTCGATTGACGATCTCAACAACGTCCCACTCCCAGAGTTCGCAGAGGCAATCTCCCTCCTTTTCGAGCCTGCGCCGCCACTCGCAGCCGCGCTGTACGCCCGCCGCCCGTTCGCCTCTTATGAAAGCCTGCTTGACACAACACAAACGATTATTCTCCATTCCTTATCGCCGGCAGACCAGCTCCTGGTTGTAAATGCGCACCCGCGAATTGGCGAGGCAAAACAAAACCTCTCTGCAATGTCACATGGGGAGCAAGGATACACTGCGGCGGTTCAGGAAGAAGACCCTGCTGTGATGGAGAAGCTGCGGGTGCTAAACAAGGCATATGAGGACAAGTTTGGGTTCCGGTTTTTGGTGTTTGTTAACGGGCGGAGTAAGAAGGATATTGTGCCTGTGATGGAAAAGCGGCTGCACGAGGGCACCAAGGCAGGAGAGCTGGTCGTTGGTTTGAATGACATGGTCTTGATTGCCAGAGATCGTCTTCGGAAGCTTCAAAGTTAAACAGAGCTTTTTGATAAACCTTTTGGCTATGTTGCCGCTGTCGCTCTTTAAATGCGGCTGGTAAAAGTTTCCGGGGTTTGATTGCCGTGAGAAAAACAAGGTTTGGAGAATTCCTGTTCCTCATCCCCCCGGCCACTGCTAGGCTGCCCCATCACCCTACGGTACGCTCCTGCGCTTCTCCCCCCGCACCCCTCGAGGGAATGCCAATAGACGAGAGCGAGTTGACCGACAATCCTTTCTTTGCTCCACCTTCCAAGTCACAACAACCGGCAAGCTCCGCCAGCCATCCTCAAAACGCAGCCGCACTTGCCTGGTTCGCTCAAACCACTCCACAAGCTCGCCGCCCCGTCGACCCGCACCGCCTGCCTACGCAAATTGGCGCATTGCTTACCCCGCCATTAGCCAGACCTCAATCACTCGGAGACGAGATACTAGAACAGATGGCCTCTGTACCGAGCGCGGTGCAGGCCGCCGGCGAGACTGTCGGCTCGGCCGTCACGGTTGTGGCAGACGGAGTCGTGGAAGGAGTGAAGAGTGCGCTGCCATTTGATGTGGAGATGTTTCGTGACATTGCCGCTCTGCTCGTAGGAGTGCTTTCGCGAAACGCTCACGAGGTTCCGCCGCTGGATATGGGCGAGCTGCTGTTGTGCATAGGGATGTACATGCATTACCAGCTTCAAAAGAAGCTGGATGACGGAGGTCCACATTCCAGTCCGGCCGATATCTTTGAAGACACCCCCCGAGTTCGCGATCGAGCGACCTACGAGCGATTTGTTTACTGCATCAGCTTTGCGGAAGCGGCATATGAATACGACGTCGAGGCAGTGCTGGCAAAATGCACAAAGCTCAAGAGCGCGGAAAGCATATTTGATGCCGTGTTTGAGTCAACTCACGATTGCCCAGCGTTTTTCATGGCGCTCGACAAGGAGAACTGGAAGATTGTGATTGCGATCCGCGGCACGGCAAGTCTGCACGATGCGGTTGTGGACTTGAAAATGGACTGTGAACCATTTTTGGGCGGATATGCCCATCAAGGAATGGCTCACCTTTGCCACAAGCTCGTCGAACGCATCCTGCCCAAACTGACCGCTTTACAACGCATTCACCCAAATTTCGAAATCCTCATCACAGGCCACAGCCTAGGCGCTGGCATTGCGTCACTTCTTACCCTCCTCCTCACCTCTGACGAGTACAAAACGCAGTTTCCGCACGTCCGTGGTGTTTGCTTTGCAACGCCAGCGTGTTGTACGGAAGACCTTGTGGACCGTGCTGAACATTGTGTTGACTCGCTCATCCTGGGCTACGATGTGGTTCCCGCGCTGAGTGAAAAGAGTTTAATATGGCTCCTTCGCGAGTTGCAAAAGTTTAGTAAAACAAATCAGCATCGAAAGTTGCTCTCGGAAGCGTGGACGAAACAGCTGGATGGAGTGTACGATGCGCTTGAGACAAATCCAAGGACCAAGTTTGTGATTGACGCATGGGAAAGTGGCGTCGCAACGACTGTGCGAAGCTCGGTTACTACCGCAGCGTAAGTGTGCCCGACGCTCGATGTTTGCGTTATGGGTTCTGCACTTCGGTAACACTCATTTTTACAGCTCTGTGGCGACTAACTCGCTCGTTACTGTGACGACGACGGTGCAAGAGACAGCAATCCACCTTGCTGAAGCCGCGGGAGACGCTGTCGTTACCTTGCAAGAGTCTGGTTTCATTCCTGCGGAGCCAAGCTTTTTCCAGCGGAACCGCTACCGATTGGCTACATGGTTTGCCGGATTGCGTGATGTGAGTTGGCCGCTCCTTCAGGATCTAGCGCGCTTTGGCTTACATCAATATTTGTTACTAGGACATTCGGCAAACATCCACATTAATTACCCTCGGCCTTGCACTGTCATCTCGCTTGATCATCCGGCGCACGTCAAAGCGGTTCTTACTCATCTCGATTAGCGCCGCCGTGTTTGGGCAGGTAGGCTGGATGCGCTGGAAGCGTTCAACCGCCGAGAAGCTTGAGACGGACCTTGCGGAGAAGGAGACAACGCGGCAAGCCATTGCAGATGCGGAATCCGCAGAAAGCAGTGGCGGTGATCAGGTAGCAGAACGATCACCTTCAATGCGCAAAGATAGCATATCAGCCACCGGCATCAGTTCGGGCAGCCAGGGGGATGGTACTGCCGAATCATCACACGGCGAAATGAAGGATCTGTTGACACCCGCCACGCTGTATTACCTTCACGACTGGATACCACCAAGCGCGACGGCAGAGTCATCCTCTGATCCAGACATCAGAGCTGGTGACGTCGCTGCCGCTGTAGCAGCGGCAGAACGACAAGAACTCACCGATGATGACTATGACGATGACCTTGCTGCCGTAGTCGCGGCCGATGCTCCCGTATTACGAGAACCTGAAGTTATAAAGAAGCACGTCCTCGTACGGTCGCTTCCAACAAATTTCACTGAGATTGCCATGAACGTTCGCATGATTGACGATCATTTGCTGAGCAGCTACCGTCGTGCGCTCGACAACACGCTCTGGGAGGATAAAGAGCTTTTAGGTGACGCTCAACCGACTTCCCCATAATATTAATTAGCCACTTTTGTTTGTTATCCTATCCTTTGCCATATATGTAGTTACCCTACACCAAACCTGAGAAATTGTCTTGCACTTCCAAGGTCTATATAGCTGTCGGAAATTCTTGACTTCTCTGACCAATTTTGTGGCAACCCACTTCTGTAAAAAAGTAAGAAAAACAAAGCAGCAAAAGGATGGCTCCCCAGCCGTCATTGCAATGTATGTATGTACCCAGCGTCACGTTTGAACACAAAACTGTCGGGACGATAGGCCCATGAACGTGCCACTGAGTCAATCGGCTGTGATGGAATATAATTCACGGCTCACATAATCGTCCAACGGGTAGCGGATAAGCGTCATCACGGAAACCACTCCTCCGTAAAACACTCAATGACATTCTCACTGAAGTAGCGATACTCCACCCGCTCTCTTACCGCGGGCCGCTACGCTTTAAGGGAAGAAAATGATCGGAAAAAAAGAAAAAAAGCAAGTGCCAGGTGTGGGGTTCGAACCCACGAGCCTTTCGGCACTGAAGCTTAAGTTCAGCGGTTTGACCACTCACCCAACCTGGCGCGGATAAATATAGCATCAGAACCAGAAACACATAACTTATATAACAAAAAGGTCGTGACGTTGAGCCTCTAAATCCTCATGTCGTTGTGTCGGTTTGCTGTTCCCATCATAATGGCCTACATCCACCATCCAATTAAATCACCAGCCGTCCGCTCTGTCCTCCCCATCCGCCAACTCGATGGAAGAGAGGCGAGCTATCGTGATCTTATTTGCATAAAGGTTGGCACAACGACCGTGATGCCCTCTGCAACGTTTTTGTCGCCAAACCTGATGTGCTTGCCACCACCTCACAACCCAGGAATTAAGCATAGAGCTGAAGCGTCTGGACCTCTCCGCTCAACCACCAGAGCTGGTCTCTCTCAGCGAGCAGGTTCTCTTTGGTCACATTCGGACGCATGACCGGATCACTGTGCCAGAGTACGCCCAGACGCGGTTCGAAGCCGGCGACAATGACGATGCCGACGTCAGTAGTGAGGGCGGCCTCTGTCGCGAGCTTCTCTGCTGCACGTCAGATTCGGGATACCTGAGCTTTCTAGAGGTCAAGGAAGGCACAGCAGACACGCCGCCGAGGATTCAGTCCGTCCTACAGGTGAGCAGCACAAGCGGGCCAAGAAGACAGTCTTTTTACATGTGTCATTGCACGGGCAGCTGGGTACGCACGCGCTGGAGGGGCGACCTGGCCGGCTAGTCATAGTGTTTGTAGCGGGCAAGCGCTTTGGTCGCCGATTAATATCAATGAAAACGCATTCTGCGAATCACACCGTGACCATTCTCCGTGCTCCTTCTGAATCTGGCTGGCTGGTGGTTTTGACAGATCGAGATCGCGGCTCCTGGCGTAGGCTATTCAGATTTCGGCAGCTCGCTGGCTGTGGACCCGAGGTATGGAGCGTTCCCACGCGTGCTTCGATGAAGATGGTTGCCCTAGAGCCAACCAAATGTTACGAGGACCCTATAGGTCTCGAGCAATTGCCGCGGGGGCGATGGACGGCATGGTGCAGATTTGGCAGGTTCGGAGTATGGAGGAAGGTATCATTTGTCCGGAACAGGTACCAGCTCTGAAGCCCTGTAGGCGAGTTCACCGCGGGACGTCGCTGATCCCAACAACGCAGTCCGTGAAGGTTCGCGAAGAGGGCGTGTTATGGATGATGACGTTTCTATCACCGGAAAGTGATAGCGATACTGTTCGTCTCGCCATTTTAAAAACTCTGTATGCAGTCTCACTCTCGGCGGATGGCTCGCACGAAAATGTGTTTGAATCAGACTTACTCTTCCTTTCGTTGTATCAGAGATGAACACCTAACCATTGTCATCTACGAGTTTGACCTCGGTGCATTGGAGGAAATGAGGCGGTGGCAAGAGCACCGAATCTCGCGAGGTGGGTCATTCATGTAATTGGAACAACGCCCAGTCACAAATCTAACGCATATCTTCCGCAGAAGCAGTCCCATTGTACGTTCGCGCTTTGTCCATCATCCCCGGCGGTTTTGTTATCGTCACGGATACTGGCATGCATTATGCTGCCGCCAGCAAAGCACGGCTCGAGGTACTTGTCCTGCCGCATCTGCATGTTTCCACCGCACCATCTGCGCGACAGACTGTTGTAGCAGCCACAGCAAGCGCCGTTTGCAACGCCGCCTCTGCTACCACAGTTCAAAGCCTATACGTGGCCACAGAAGAAGGGCATTTGTTCCGCATGGATTTTGAGTCTAGTCCAAGCGCGGTCACCTCGCGTCATTTAATTCACACGGAAAGAAAGATACGCGGGCTGGCGCTGCTTACATCTGGCTCCCGCACGGACGATATCACTTGGCTGCTCGTTTGCGGTGATACGTGCGATGGAGCTCTCGTTGCGGTATCTATACTGCTCAAAATGTCGGTCGGTCTGAAGAGTCAATAAGCTTACTGACATCTTTGCAGATCCGTCAAGACGGCAACGTCTCAATTGAACCTAATTTGGAGAACTGGTCTCCAGTCCTGGACTTCCATCTGGCGGATATCCACGGAGAGGCACGTGATACGATGCTGCTTACCAGCGGCGCGGGTGATCAGGGTGCCATGCGCGAAATCCGGGTCGGCATTCCCGCTGTAACCCATGCCTCGGAAGACACGGGAATGGATGGGTAAAAGGCTTAAGTCGAGACGCAATCATCATTCACGCAAGCGTAACTCACTTTTGTTTTTTCATCAAGTGCTAAAGGAATCTGGAGCTTGAAAGGACGGGCTACGGACGTGGACGACACCTTCCTTGTCCTCACCTTTCTTGAAGAAACTCGCGTAATGTCACTTGAGAGTAAGATGAAGTGTCGCGTTCATACTGGATCAGGCCGCCGGTTACGCTTAACCATCCAACTATTATCAGGCTCAGAGTTGCAAGATTTGGGACCCTTCGTCGCCTTTGAGACCTCATCCCCAACACTGTGCGCCGACAACCTCACCGTCGGGGACTTGCACGGTCAAATCCATGCGCGCGGCGTTGTTGCCGCAAATTTGGGCTCCGAGGACCGCGTTAGTGCACGATGGTCGTCTGACAGGCCCGTGCTCGGCGGTTGCATCTCGGGCGACAGGATCGTGGTATGCAGCAGGAACGAAGTGGTCGCTCTTCGTGTGCGCGTCGGTAGCGGTCCATGGTATTTACAGCTCTACGCAAGCGCCGGCTGCTGCGAGCTGGGTTTAGTTCTGACTGGCGGCGATTTAAGTTTTGCTCCAGAGATACTGGAAGAACAACGCGCGCATCTGGACGTGAACCCATCGTGTTTATATGCCTTTACAACATTACCGGGACATGCAGGCCGGTATGGGTTCCGCGCTATGCACCGAGTCCACCAGTCATTGCAGGTACCTGCACTAACTTGAGGTTTGGGATCTTTTTGCAGACACGCACAGTTTTGCGTAATCGGAACGTTTGAATCTTCCATTGAACTACTATCGCTGGACAATGAAAGTCTTTTGGAAACGGTTGGGCGGACCTCGCTTGAGAGTGGCACCAGGAATGTCAGCATTCCGCACTCATTCCTTTCGCTCGCTATACCCGGTGGATTGCGTTTATTGGCCGGTATGAAAGTTCCGGTTTCTGAGCTAACGTCGCTATATCTTTAATGAGGCATTCTCAACAGGAATGCGAGATGGCCAGTTGATAGAGTTTACAGCAACGGTTGCAGGCGGTATAGCATTACAGTGCTCCTATTTCTCTTGCGCCCTAGTTTTCTCTCTAACTGAAGATATATGTAAATCTTCAGAAGCAAGCCCACAGCAAGTTATTCTCAAACGCGTTGCCATGCACCAGGTGGGAGTTCTCCCTCTGGTATTAGTTCCCGCGCAAAGCGGACTTGGCCCCAGCTCCGCCGCGCTTGGATTTTCCGACAGCTCATGGCGCATAGAGTATGATTCTGAGCATGGGGGGCTGAAATTGGCAATGATCTGTTGTCCACGGGTAAAGCAAATTGCAACTTTGGGAAGAATAGCTGGCAGCTTTACGTGCTAATGTTTTATTATCAACCCCCGTTAGACGGTCCATGCAGCGCCATTCAGCTATGCTCACGTCAGGCGCGGTGTCATGGCCCTCATTAAAGGTTCACTGCAGTTCGTCGAGCTTGGCAAGCGTAAGGAGACCATTGTCCGCACGGTCAAACCGGGCGAGGTAAAGCGGCAGAGGAAGAATGAAAAGAAAGTGGATTTTTCCACGGCATACGCTCATCGAAGCAAAATTATGACCGATGTACAGGGGCAGGTACCACGGCGAGTTCTTTACGATCGACACACCCGGAGAGCAGTCGTAGCAGTTGCGACCAAGCGGCCACATAGCACGCAAATACAGTCCGAGATTCGCGTTGTCGACGTACCTAGGTGAGGCTCCCGTCTGAAACTGGTCATCTTTATGCTTTTTCTGATGAGCGAAGGTCAAAACAGCGGGAAAGTGTTTGCCAAGGAAAAACTCCTGCCAAACGAAAAGATTTGCGCTTTGACAGGTACGTGCTGCAGCTGCCTGTGTTGTAGAATTTGTGACCTCACACACCCTGTCTGTGATACGCACATACAGCATGGAACGTCAAAGAAGGCAAAGGCTATATTTGTGTGGGCACATGGGGTCACATCCCGCCTGACGGAGCGGGAGAGCCAGAAGGGCGAGTTTTGGTGTATAACCTGAAAGCATACGAACGCAAAGAGCCGGATACGCAGTCAAAGACATCGCGGAAGGTGGTGATGTACAAGATGAAGCAACTTGGAAGTATCTCGCTGGCGGGTCCAGTGCAGGCGATTTGCCCATTTCTGAACAGGTGCGTATTATGCCAAACTTGAGTTAATGATAAGGATCAAAGGCTGAACAATCGCGGTAATCCTGACAGTTATCTCCTGTGTGCCGCGGGCGACTCCTTTGTCCAGCTAAAGATTGACGCGCATACCAGAACGTAGTAGATGATCTCCGCTCAACATGCGCTCGTGATCCGGAAACTTACAGGTCTTTCTCTCATCTACAGATTGGTAGTGCGCACAAGTGTTGCCACTCGATGGCCTGTACATTCTATTTCCGTGGCCGGCAACCGGGTGGCCGTCGGTGGGCAGCAGGACTCGTTATCACTATGGGACTACGAACCCGAAAACAAACAATTCACATTCTTTCAAAGGTTTGACGAAAACCCTCCCGCTCATCATGCTCCCGCCGAATACAAAAAAAGCGGGTCGCTAACGGACATGTCGTTTTTAAGTGACCGCTACATCAGAACAATATCCGATTGTGTCGCGACCGGCACTGATTCCGCGATCGCGGCCGACCGAGTGGGCAACTTGCTCGGGTTTGGCACGGTGCCAGCGGTCATGGAAACTACGCTGAGGACAGATTTCGCTATCCATCTCGGAGAACCTATTTCGCGTTTCCGCCTCGGTTCGATGACGCATCCGGCCACTCATTCGCTTGACAATGATGATAGCCACAGCTGGTGCTTGGCCGACATCCGTGATGATATCGTTGCCGGCAATATGCAACGGGAGGTTCTGTACGGTG